CCTTGCTGGAGATCTCATTGAACACACAGGACGTTTCTTCCGTAAGATTGCCTACTGATTGCGTGACGTACCCTCGAAGATGTTTTAGACAAAGAATATGCAACAAAAATAGACGACAGGATGTTTAAGAACAAGGCGCAAGAGGAGCGTTTAAACTAAGAGAGAAGAAGTAACAGGAGGCTGGAGCAAATTTTGCTCTATCAATCTGTCTGTCTTATCTGTCTATCTATCTATCTATCTATCTATCTATCTATCTATCTATCTATCTATCTATCTATCTATCTATCTATCTATCTATCTATCTATCTATCTATCTATCTATCTATCTATCTATCTATCTATCTATCTATCTGTGGCTCTACAGCCCTATGTTGGGCCTTGGCCCCCTTTTCAGTTTCTTAATCCTCTACACAGTCTGTAGGACTCCTTCTGCCTATACCCAGAACGACACAGACACAGAATAAACTCACACATCCATGCCTTGAGTGGGATTCGAACCCACAATCCCAGTGCTCGAGCGGGCGAAGACTGTTCATAACTTAGACCGCGCGGCCACTGTGATCAGCATATTGTCTTACAGTCGGGATAATTACTCTTGGTGCACACGATGTCTGTCTTCATATCAACACTAATGCAATAAGACACAGAGGACGTTAAGGAGCCACGTGTTCACTTCACCCTTCTGCTCCTTTCATTTGTTGACTTTTAGGTCCTCATAACAGTGACTGTGATGTAGTCCTGCAGAAGTTCACCGACGTTTCGGAAGAATGTATGAGCTCCATCTTCCTGGCTCTGCTTGTTTCTTATTGTCACATATGATGGGTTTGCGTGACTAATAATAACGGGTTAAGGATTGGATGATTGGATTGGCACTTCCTATTACAGTCAATTATAACAGCTCACAATCAGTGATTGGCTAAGACTCGATCCATTCCTTACTGCATTACGAGTGTCTTCTTTTCCACTATGACTGATTTACGAATCGGTCACTTCTTCTACTGCGACACCCTTGAACGACGACTGTCTTACTAATGTCTCCTTGAACTCTCTCACGAATGCCGAATGACGGCTCTCTTTTCTAACTTCGGGCGGACCGAATATAAGTCATCATGTCCCACAATTCCTCTGTTATTCCGTTGCCACGGAAACGTTTTATTGAGCCGTTGGGTAGCAATGGACTTCCGCTCTGGCTTAATTATTCCGGCTTTTAGACGCCATGTCACACTATGCATTGATTACGCATTGGACATGTTCTTGGACCCTGAAAATGAATAAAGTACATTCTTAAGTACCAATTACATCTCAAATCACTGTTCTTCTGTCCGTCCAGTGTTCACATGAACTCCGCAGACATTTCAAATGAAGTATAGGCGTATGTTGCGAGCACGCCTGACCACTCCGTGGAACAGTACAGATGACAGGTACTCCGAGAACACATGAGGTCTCTTTTGCCCATCCCTCCCTGTAAACTGAAGTCCAGTTTTGAGAACTTGTAGCACTGTTGAAATCGTGATGTGTGGGGTCACTTTGTGTTGCAAATGTAGGACAACGTCTTAACGCAAGTGTCCCAGTGAGTCAGCTTAAATGGCAAGGAAGAACTTCTGGAATTCTTTATACAGTCTAGGTCAGTCCGTTAACAGCCGTGATGGCCGCAAGTAAATATTGTTATGTCCCTTTATTCAGTTATTTTGAAGCCCCTCAGCGGTAAAGAAAACTCTCCAGTTAGGTTAGGTTTCTGAGTCACAGAATGAAACTGATGTTAACTGTAGGAGCAGAAGGAAACTGGTGCTCTCTGAATACACATATTTGGGCTGCTATAGGGAATATCTTTTTTTCCCCTGAATAAACCACGTATACAGCCTTAATTAGGGAGACCGTCTCCACAAATTGTTAATATTTAAGCAAAATCGTTTCAGAAGTTTCGAGAAAATTGCACTTTTGTTATTCGGGGCCTCTATGAAGAACCCCTGCTTTTGGAGTTAGAATGTTCATATTCACCGTGCAACGGTCTTTGAATAAAAGGTAAAGTTGTCCTTGAGCTTAACTAATTAAGCACATTGCCATGAAGACGCGTGGGGGAGTGGATGTGTAGATCCACATTATCTTGACCTTGGCACTAGCTGGAAGTGAACAACATCAATAAAATTAATCTAACCATTTCACGCCCTAGCGATTCTCACATGTCTATATACTGTCACGTGTGGGGGTGACAATTAGACGGGGTTTGGATTTATTGTACCTATACAATGAACTCATAATTACAAGTACGCTAATCTCCTCACTTTAGTGTTCACTGCTGTAAACACTAGTGTCCTCAGTCTACAGGTATTACAGTCTCCATTAACTGTTTCCTGGCAATGGATTTTAATGCAGGAACTGTTATCAGTCTCACTGAATTACACACTCCAAATATCGTGGTAATATCGCACACATAAAGTTTTCTCTTCACAGAAGGACTGTCATCTCCACTCAACTGCACTCAGTAATTCTGACGTCTCAGTTCAACTGCTGCTCCCAAGCTCATATCCTGACAGGCTGGCGTCTCGAATCTCAACTGACTTAAACGAGTTTCATTGCCCTCTTTATAACCCCTCGGCACGGACCACACAGAAAATAGCTCCTTTATTGTTGCATGTATTCGTTCAAGAGGAAACGTGTTTACTCAATTGTTCCACAGGATCATCTGTAGATGTTACATCTCGTTTTGTGACAATTCTTCTGCTGTTTTGTGTGTACATTACCTAGCAGTGGCCGTTTCTTTGGCTCCACAGTTCTTGCTTTGGGCAAATACGCCACAATGCATAATGCATACAGAGAGACAGCATTCCAAAAACCATTTTCTCTTATTCATAGACGCTGAAAACATATAAGACCATCAAAACTCCGAGGTTTATTTTACCCCTTGTCTCAACAATATACTATTTGTATCAGAATTAAAAAAAAGAAGTAAATCAGCTTATGTACTAAAGACTATTTTAGGAACATACAGATATCCGTGTACACTAGTAGAGCTAGTAGGCTGATTCCCCTGACATTGCGGTCTTAAGTCTATGTACCACCACCATCCCCTGGTGATGACGATAGTATATGGGTTTGTAGCCTGGGGGGTTGTTGATTGACAGCGGACATGGAGGTACAGCACTGAGAGAAAATCTTGCCACACAACACAGATATATCCCATGTGGACAGTCCTTAGTTTAATTCAGGTCTCCACGATGAAAAATTCGATATTTTACAGCTTATGATATTATCCAGAGCCATTAACCCACTAAAGCTCAATGGTCACTATACGTTCCACGTGTTTTAACATCGTACTATAACCCTCCATTTTGCCTGTAGCGTATTTACGTGTTTCCAGTGATTCTCTCAATAAGCAGAGATTGTTTCCCTAAACAGCAACAGCTTGGTCTTTATAGCGGAGACGTAACGTGTTTCCTGTGAGGTACGAATTGAATTCTTATATATTATTTAGAAGAAATTAAGTAAAAAATATTTACCCCTGTTACTGTACTTTTGACAATTTTGTCCTAAATTCATCTAATTTATTTTTAAAGGAGAAATTTTGAATCTGAAAGCATTGCGATTGTTAAGTAGAATTATTTTTCAAACTCTCGTGAACTGTATTTGCGAAAGCTGGATAAATACCTAGCTCCTTGGAGTAGTTCCTTTATAGACAAGCTAATTGTCGCTCAGCTGGTCAAGAAATTCCCTGCCCTTTATGAAATCCAAAGGTTCATTACCTTGTGCACAAAAGACTGCCATTTGTTCCTAACATCAGCTGGATGAATTGCAGTCCACATATCCTTCCAGATTTATTTTAATATTATCTTCCATCTACTCCAACCCCGCCCCTCCGTCTGTTCTGTGTCATTTTATAGCGTGCTGTTGCGTCCGCGACAGCTCGTACAGTATAACCACCGTTACTTTCCGCCGCAATAGCTCAGTCGGTAAGGCGGCTAGGCTATGAGCTTGAACGACCAGTGAATCAAGGTACGATTCCCTTCAGGAGAAGTAACTTTCCTCTCTCTGCAAAGTCTAGACCGGCTCCGGACCTCACCCACCCCCATTTCAGTGGTTACTGGTGGCTGTTTCCATTTGGTTAAAGCGACCGGAACGTGAATCTAACCATCACACTAGTGTTGAGGTTAAGAATCAGTTGATTTTTGCCCTCATTCTCCCATATGTTGTATGGTATGGTGATGTTTATGCCGATTCTTCACATTTGAACTGTATCTCGTGTTTATAAAAGAAGTCTTTCGCTATCTGAATTTTATTTCGCGTTCATAACACGAATTTTTCGTTGATTGAATTGCATATGGTTTTATAAGACTAGTATTTCACTGATTGAATCGAATTTTGTGTTTTAAGACTACTTACTCTCCCGTTGAATCTCATTTCATGATTTTAAGACATAGTTTTACTGATTCAATCGATTTTCGTGTTTTAAGACTTTTTATTGATTGAATGACATTTCGTGTCNGAAGGTTGATCTTTCCTGTAACGACATTGCATTTTGATAACAGACTTTGTTTCGAAAAACCAAAGTAAGCACATTGCTCACTTATTCACTTGGAATGCGTGTTACTAAAGGCAGGATGGCCGGTCACGGTAGCCGAGCGGTCTAAGGCCTGAACTGTCTTCACTCGCTCGGAAGCCGGGATCGTTGGTTCGGATCCCACTCAGGGCATGGATGTTTAGTTTGTGTGTGTGCGTTTTTCTGTGTTTGTGTACAGGTAGAGGCCTTGCGACGAGCTGATCACCCGCCCAAGGAGTCCTACCGAATGGGTAAGATGTAGAAAAACCGAAGTGAACGGAGAAGTTCATGGAGGTAGGCCTAGGCCCACTGGGGATGTAGTGCCGCCGGGGGGGGGAGAAAGGATGACAGGAAACTGATAACCGGTTAGCAGCTGGTTTATAGATCAACTAGTTACCTGGCCGCTATTGCCATGCGCTCTGTTGTCACCTGCCTGTACTAACGACACTCTTTTGTTTCTTTCTAGCTCCTGTTTACGAGCACGACGATCAGACACAAGTGGACGAATATTATGGCGGTGAGTAATGAATACGTGAACTTCATACGAGGGCATGGGCACATAAAGGTAAAATGTAAAGTTTTCCCTGCAACAGGCCGTGGAGGGCCATAGGGTTGTTTGACGTTGAGCCTCTCACATTTTCTCTAGACAATCAGCTCACAGATGGCGGTGAGGTTGTCAACCTTGTGCCCTGGTCGACCGCCCTTTACTCCCAGGAATTTTCCCGGTACTCATTTCTGTAAGAGGCTGTGTCGACACCAGGACCATAGTGGGGCTGGAAGGATTAGGATAACTTTACCTTCATCTTTGTTGTTTTACCCTAATTTCCTTATTTTGAAAAATTATAAGGAGACTTTCGAGATCACCTTGTTGTCTGTCTGCTTCTGTCCATCTGTCTATGTACCCCCTAATTTTTAGGGCTATGTTTATCAGTCGATCACAGTGGCCACGCGGTCTAAGGCATGAACCGCCTTCGCCCGCTCGAACACTGGGTTCGTGGATTCGATTCCCACTTGAGGCATGACTATCTATGTGCGTTTATTCTGTATTTGTGTTTTTCTGTGTGTAGGTAGCGCCCTTAAGACTGGCTGATCCCCCGTGCAAGGAGTCTTATCGACCGTGTATAAGATTAAGAAACCGAAAAAAGCAGTCGAGGTCCAAAAGGGCTGTAGAGCCATAGATAGATAGATAGTGTTTATGACGTCACAATGCTGTCTCCTCCCCGCACTTTTCGTTTTCTATGCGGTCCCTCTTGTATCAAAAGAAAGTTGGCTAGTTCTTCTCAGAACATCTTGTTAAATAATACGTTAATTTCGAATGTACGGAGTGTTTTGCACTGATTTTCAGTCGCCTTTTCAAAATTACAGCGTGTATATATTGCAGTATGGATACCGTTATTTCGTATTCATGTCTGACTACAATCGCTCTACACTACTGTTTGCTTCCAGACTCTACATTCAATTCGTTATAGTCTAAAGTAACAGGGCACTAATGCACATAATTTGGGGCAGACATGGGCACTGGTGCATATCAGCATCTCTTTCAGCGCAGAGCAGGAAGACGTCAGCGAGCAAGGGTTCGTGACTTATCCTATCCTCTATGCTTCAAAGGTTATTAGACTTCCTGGTCTGTTCCGTCTTCAGTCAAATTCGCCTTTCCTTCTAGTCCTAAGATTCGCGCTTATAGTACGTCCATATTATTTATTTTCCCCATTTTTATGTTCTATTTTGAATTAAAAAGCCCATGTACCCTACGAATCAGGTGAAGTAAGGTGAAAGGTAAAGCTATCCCTGTAACAGACCTTGGAGGCCCATAGGTTTCTGAGACACCGAGGCTTCCACATTTTCTAGATAATCGGCCCACAGATGACGGTGAGATCGTCAGTCTTAGTCGCCGGCCGCCGTTTACCCCCAGGAAGATTCCTGGTACTCTTTTCTCTTAGAGGCTGGGTCGACCCGAGGGCCATAGTGCGGCTGGAAGTATTCGGTCATTTGAAAAATCCAGTGACCTCATCGCGAATTGAACTCGTGATCTTCCGGTTTGCTAGCTTACGTGTTAGTACATGAACCAACTACGCTACTGCGTGCCCGTAGGTGAAGGCGTGCCTGACCTTAATTAATTAAGCACTACGCCATGAAGATTTTTGTGGGAGTGGATGTACAGATCTACGTATTCTTGACCTCAACTGTGTAGGCAACCTTACGGATTGAGTTCTACATGTGTTTGAATTTCCCATCGTCATGTGATATAGAAAATATATTGAAAAATGACTACGTATATAGTAAGACGAGTTCTGTGTTTAACTATATAACGCCTTGTAGTTCGTTGAAAGTCAATCGACGTTTCAGGTGAACGTATTGCCTCCATCTTCAGGCCCAAAAGTAAGCCAAGCAAGAAAACATTTCTTCTATCTGCGTGCTTCAGTCTGGTTTCCTGCTTGGTTTAATTTCCGACCCTGAAGATGGAGGTAATACTTTCCTCTGAAACGTCGATTGGCCTTCAAATAATTACAAGATGTTATATATCAGAAGACAGAATTCTCAGATCCAACATTAACCTTGTAAAATTCCAATTACGTAACGATTGTGCCCCCATAGCACGTCGTGTAAGGAAGTAAAGATTTCCCAGTGCCCGGTTAAATAAGCACTATGCCGTGAACACGTATGAGAAGTGGATGTATAGCTTCACCATTCTTAGTGAAGGCAGTAAATGATGGTGAGTGGTGAGCTTCAACCCCTAGCCGCTTTACCCCCGGGGAAAATCTCCCTATACCCATTAGGAAGCTGGATGGATTCCAGAGCCCACCTGGATGAGTTCCAGAGCCCGCGTGGATGACGTAGAGAATATAACAGAAATCCCTTACACCTGTCTAGGATTCAAACCCTGATTCGGCGGTCGTCCAGCTTTGTCTTTATATCGACCAAGGTACACCATCTCATATTACGTTGTTGCTGAACTACCGTAGCACTCATCAATACTTTGCATCTAACATGACTGTTCTTGTCTTACCTTAAGTCGGATTAAGTTAAGACTATAAGGAAAAGCTGATGACGGTTGGAGCAACAGCAGTGTAGCTTGTTACACTCTTTCTCTGTCCCCCCTCCGCCCTGATCCTGCTCAGCGTCTCTTTCCTCACATTCCCATGCTTGTTGCTCAGCTTTGCGGGGAAGTTCCGTGTTTTGAGACGCTGCTCCCCTCTACCGGCGAAGACTGCACTTGAATTGTCTCCCCTGATGACCGCAGCTTGGGTGAAGATGGTCCATCGACCCTTGTTCAGGCTATATAACGAAGTTGTAAGGCCAAGATCATTATTAACGGTACCGGGTTATGTGATCGGCCGCAGAAGGTTTTACTTTCACACGCACACGCACACACACACGCGCACACACACAGTAGAGAGCAAGTACTGTGAACTGAGAACGCGCAGGGCCCAACTTAAGTCCTTGTACTTAACTAATTGCTGGTCACGGTAGCCGAGCGATCTAAGGCATGTACTGTCTTCGTGGGTTCGAATCCCACTCAGGGCATGGATGTTTAGTTTGTGTGTGTGTGTGCGTTTTTCTGTGTTTGTGTACAGGTAGAGGCCTTGCAACGAGCTGATCACCCGCCCAAGGAGTCCTACCGAATGTGTAAGATGTAGAAAAAACGAAGTGAACGGAGAAGTTCATGGAGGCAGGCCTAGGCCCACTAGGGCTGTAGCGTCAAAGAAAAAAAAACAAACTTAACTAATTAAGCACTAAGCCATGAAGGCGTATTAGGAAGTGGATGTATAGCTCCACTATTTTTGACCTCGACACTAGATTGAGGTGTATTGTCAGCTTTACGACCCGGTCGCTTTAACCCTGGGCAACCGGCACCCATTGGATAGGAGGCTGGATCGATCTGAGAGCCAGTCTGGACGACGTGGAGAAGAGAAAAATGTTGCCATGCCGGGAATTGAACTCGGCTTCGAGCGAGGGCTTAAGCTATGATGAAGAGTGAAATACAAATGTGTATATGTCCGCACATCTGGAAATGCAAAAATGCGTTGCTTTGGATCAATCGAACAGCTTCCCGATTGGTTTTCGGCTAGCGACGCTGTTCATGTGTGTCTTGGTTGCATCTTTCCGATCTGCTGAGATGTAGTGACACGTTTATTGTACTTCGAGTTTTGGAAGGGAATGTTGTGTTGTCGACCGCTTCTGAGGTCTAGTGGCTGCAGATCTAGAGGTCCCGGGTTCGATTAAAGGCGCTACCAGATATTCTGAGAAGTAGTTGGTCTGGAACGGTGTCCACTCAGCCTCATGAGGATAACTGAGAAGCTGTTTCAAGGAAATAGAGGCTCCTGTCTCTAAAACCGAGAATAACGGCCACGGGGATCCGTTTGCGTTGACCACGCGACACTCTCTACCCGCTAAATTTGGCACTAACTTCGCCGACAAGCGGCGGTCGCTCGGTCGGTATAATTCGCTTGCGGACTACAGGACACGGAAGTTCTGTTTTATATCGTGTTGTCTCGTGACAGACTTGTGTTATAGGTAGTGTTTGAGGTTCTCACGCCTGTGGTTATGTAGAATTCTATCTTCTGAGATATAACACCGTGTAGTCTGTTGAAAGTCGACTGACATTTCGGTGGAAAATGTCGCCTCCTTCATCAGGATGGATGGATAAGCCGAGCAAAAATCTAGCTTGAAAGCATGTCGCAAGCAGAGCTGGGTACTTGTACCAGGACTCCGCCCCGCTCAGCTGTGACTGGACTACAAGCCCTGCTGGTTGGTCTGTGTAATGGAGATGTACACGCATGTAGTATGTTTTCTGTATGGTGGGAATTGAACCCTAAAATATTTACATGGATTTCTTTATCTTAGTGGATTACCATTTGGCATGTCCGTGCGCTGAAACATCAATTCTGAAAAATGAAAGCTTTAGCGAAAGGCGTTCATTATTTATCCATTTCAGATCCAATATATTCCTGTAACTCTTGTATTATTGTGCCAAATTAGTGTCGAAGAGTCCATGACCTATAATTTTCAAACCGGAAGCAAAAAAATAAAATAAAATTGCTTACGGAATATGTAAGTATATCTGAAATACCTGTAGGCGGTTACGAACAGCCCTCCAAACGGTCGTTTGTGGTATACCTAACTGCAAAGACTAGTTGGCTTCGAGAAAACGCTTCCTGGATTCGATCAACAGCTTCCTGCGTAGTGCTCGGTCTTCTCATTCCTTTTCGATGCAGAACACTACCATTCTCTTGAAATTGCTTCAACCAACGTCGGATAGCATTCTCTGAAGGTTGATCTTTCCTGTAACGACATTGCATTTTGATAACAGACTTTGTTTCGAAAAACCAAAGTAAGCACATTGCTCACTTATTCACTTGGAATGCGTGTTACTAAAGGCAGGATGGCCGGTCACGGTAGCCGAGCGGTCTAAGGCCTGAACTGTCTTCACTCGCTCGGAAGCCGGGATCGTTGGTTCGGATCCCACTCAGGGCATGGATGTTTAGTTTGTGTGTGTGCGTTTTTCTGTGTTTGTGT